AAAAATCGCTTTGTTTTTTTCTTTCAATTTTTTCTATTAATGGAACCTGAGCCTCATCACCTAAGCTTTTCTGCAAATCTTTTTGACAATACTTTGTCTTTAGTTAATAAAATACAAAAAGGTTCCTCTTTATATATGCAAAACAACCCATGTGTCTTTCTGGAAATATTTTTCTGAAACACCGTTAAATCATCGATTTAGAAAAGATTTTAGTAAAAGTTATATACCGTCCGGATCGGTTAATTTCAACTCTACTATTGTTCTTGTGTGATTGAAACATTTCGATGAGCGATAATCTGATAAATAAAAGCAAATTCATTTTTTTTATACGTGATAAAGCGGTCATATTAGTCTAATATAACAAAGTAATATTTAAAATTTTCTTAGCTATATAATTACCGACAATGTAATATCGGAAAAGGATACATTCATCAATCAGATTGAAACTGAACTATATTATTTATTTATATCATTCTTTTTCGATTCTAGGTCTCGTTTCCATCTTGCAAGAAGGAACAACAGAGACATACATGGAATTTTTTGGTAAAGATTTTGTTCGATATTTTACAAATTATGGTTACGATAAAATATTGCGTGTCGCTGGTCGACAATTTCGTGATTTTTTACGTTCTATTGATCAATTGCATGACAGTAATCGATATAGTTTCCCGAAAATGAACAGTCCTGTATTTCATGTCACTGAAGAAGATGAAAATGGTGTCATACTTCATTATAAGTAGGTAAAGTGAGATTAAAAAATAGTACAAATAGTGAACGATACTAAAAAGGAATAGATATTTCAGATCAAAACGTCGAGGATGGACTGCCTTCACTATCGGTATACTCAAAGAATGTGCTATAAAACTATTTAACGTTGATATCATTGTTACAATACAAGCTGATGAATCAAGTGATGAAAGTAAGATACTTCTTGATCAGTTGAATAAGTATTACTGCTGAATAATTTATTCTCTATTCACGCGCCGTTCAAGTTTAGAAATAAACGTTATTCAGCATTTACAATTTTTTTTACTTCTTCATACAACAAATTTCTAAAGTACTACTTTATTTCGATACACTTTAGGTACTCACCTAATATTTCGTATTGATTTCAATAATAAAGTGAAATATATACGTGGTTTTGAACGACCAAAATTAC